GGGGGTGGGGAGTAAGGTGAGGGGAGAGAGAGAGTTCTGCTTGTTCAATGCATATAGCTGGGTCGAGTTTAGCCCGAGATGACGGGGGATGTCAAGCAAAGGGATGACCCCAAACCAGTGTTCTGATCTCCTGGGGTTCTGGGCAGAGAAAACATTCTTTGTGTCTGGCTGGACCCTACACTCCCAAGACCAGGCCTTGGGACATTCTCCAAGGTGTCACATACACCAGGTGCCATCTAATGCTTTACACACATTAGCACATTGAGTCCTCTCAGGAGCCGTGGGAGGCAGGTGCAACAGGACCACAAACCCTGATCTGCAAAGCCCCAATCTAAGAAGCTCTGAAAGCTTAACATTGCTCATAACAGGATTCATTTCATGGCAAAACTTGACCGGAGTGGATAGGAGGCCATTTATGCCTCATTTGGCCTCTCAGTGAAAATATTCACATTTTCCAGCAGAGGTAGCAATGGGTTTGACCATGGAGTGCTTCCCAGCTCCTGCAGAGGGTGGTACAGAATACTTGGAAGATTTACCCTATGGCCTTCCTACAATTCAAAACTTCCAAATTCCAAATTATACCTAATAATAGGGGCTTTGGACCCATATTATTATTGTAACAGATGAAGAAACAGAGAAGTTAAGTAACCTGCCAGAAGTCACCAGCTGGGTCTGTAAGGCCAGCCTGGGGGTGGGAGGTGGGGCGTGGTGGTGCCACCCCTCAGTACTGGCCCCATTTCTCTCATGGTGCTTTTGGACAGACAGATGGTCGAGTTTGGGTTGGCCTCGTGTTTGGGGCTTAGGAGTTAGAGAGGTAACATTGGGAGGGCCTGCTCAACTGTCTGTCCTTCCTCCAGATGGTGTGGTCCTGGTGGATCCTGAGTACCTCAAGGAGAGGAGAGGTGAGGCTCCCACCCCAGCCTCTTCCCCCTCCCACCTCCAGCCCAGGGCCTCCCTGGCTCACAGCCAATGCTATTGCCTCTCCCTGCCCATCCCCACTGCTCTTCCCTCGACAGCCCCAAAGCACACAGCAGAGCAGGTGCCCCGGCCTCCTCCTGCCTGGGCTGCCCTGCCCCATGTCTGCTGGGGAGAACCATTTAATGCCCTGAGAACTTTCACATCAATATATCATGATGATCCCAAGGCTGGGTTGTGAACAGGGCAGAAGTTAGTCATTTTATAGGAGAGAAAATTGATTGCTGTGGAGGTGAAGGGGTTGTCTAAGGTCGGCAGGAAGATAGCAGGAAAGGTTAGATTGGGATAAGACCTCATACCTTCTGGGCACCACCCAGCACTTGTTTCCCCTCCCTCTGCTCTCTCCAGTTGTCCCCCTTCACATGGCCCTGGGCTAGAGCAGGGCGGGGGAGGAGGAAAGAATTGATCCAGCAGTCGACCCCCCTCCACCAGATGCCAGGCCATGGGTGGCTACCCAGGTACCCAATACCCCTGTCCCAAGAGCAGTGCAGCCCTCCCCCCAGGAGCTTTGGGACAGACCTGTGGCCTCCAGTTGGCTCAATCTCAGGTCTACAGCTGCTGCTGTGGGGGGCTTGTTTGCTGCCCTCCCAGGCGCCTCCTCAGTGCCCCCTGCTCCCACAGTCTATGTGACACTGACCTGCGCCTTCCGCTATGGCCGGGAGGACCTGGATGTCCTGGGCCTGACCTTTCGCAAGGACCTGTTTGTGGCCAATGTGCAGTCCTTCCCACCGGCCCCCGAGGACAAGAAGCCCCTGACCCGGCTGCAGGAACGCCTCATCAAGAAGCTGGGCGAGCACGCCTACCCGTTCACCTTTGAGGTCAGTGACTGCCAGCCCCTGGGGCCCCATTCCAGAAGCACCACCTAGAGGAAGCCCTCTGGACGGGCACAGTGGGGCAGCAGCTCCATGCCATCTAATTTCCCAGTGTGCGTTGGGACCTGGGGCACTGTCACACTGCCTGGTAAGTGTCTCTTCTCTGGCCTCTGCCAAGGGTGTCACTCTTACCTCTGAGCCACTCCTCAGACCCTGGTGGGAGGAAGGAGGTACAAGGGGCTGCGGAGAAAGAAGGAACCCTTTCTTGCCCCTGGGCCACTACAAGGCTGTCTCCTCCCTCAGACTGGCTGCCCACTGGCCCAGCTTCAGCCTGGCTCACCATTGAGGGATGGCAAGTAGAGGATTTCTGGCTCTGGCATCTTTCCATTCTAAGATTCCAAGATTCTGGGTTTTAAAATGTCCTGTTTCTCAGACTCTCGGTTTTGTGACAAAGTGAAATCTCCTTGCTCTCTTCGGGGGTTAGAGTAGGGGAGAGGGCACAGATCATCCTCTCCTTCATGAATATATTAGTTTCCTGGGGCTTGGTGACAAACCACCACAAGCCTGGTGGCTGTGAAACCTGCCAATTATTACCTTAAAGTTCTGGAGGTCAGATGTCAAAAACGGGCCTCCTCAGGCTAAAATCAAGGTGTCAGCAGGGCTGCGTTCTTCCTGGAGGCTCTGGGGCAGAATCTGTTCCCTTGCCTTCTCCAGTTTCTAGAGACTGCCCACAGCCCTTGGCTCATAGCCTCCTCCCCACCCCATCCCCACGTGTCTTCATCGGAACCTCCTGGATTGTCCAGGATAATCTCTTCATCCCCAGATCCTTAACTTAATCACACCCATAGAGTCCCTTTTGCCACATAAGATAACATAGTCACAGGTTTGGGGATTAGGATGTAGACATCTTTGGGGCCATTGTTCTTCCCACCACTGTAGACATCATGGAAAGATCTTTTTCAACTGCTGTTCTGTGAGGACTAGGCTAGGTTAAACCCTTTAGATAAAAAACAAACACTGAAGTCCTTGGCTTTACTGGAGGGGCCTTTGGCCCCATGTGGGGCATGGCTTGGGGAGGTCTGACGGGAGAGACATGGTCTGTCCTCTGGAGCCCTTAGTCTGATGGAAGAGACATGCCTGTCCTTAGGGACCTTGGTCTGATGAATGTGTGGGGGGTGGGGGACATGGGGAGGTAAGGGGTGAATGTGACAGGAGGTTCATTCTGTCTGTCCTCTTAACAGATCCCTCCAAACCTCCCATGCTCGGTGACGTTGCAACCAGGGCCCGAAGACACAGGGAAGGTGGGTCACCTCAGAGGGAGCATCTCTCTGAGTATAAGACACTCAAGTCCCCAGGTCCCTGGCTTTCTCCCCAGGAGGTGCTAGAACCCTTCCTGTAGAAGCCTCCTTGTGTCCAGGCCAATCTAATCTGTCTCTTTACAGAGAGGGCAGCAGATACGGATCCTCCTTATCCCACCTTAGTTATGTGTCCAAAGGCTCTCCTGTCACTCTCGCTGACCTTGGTGTTGGCTGCAACAGGACCAAAATGTTCTCTGGACTCCACGTGGCCTCACACCTCGTATGGAGGTGCAGTCATTTCATAGGTGGGGAAACTGAAGCTCAGAGAGAAGTGACACTACTAGTGTCTCAGGCCCCAGATCTCTGAACCCGTTTTTTCATCTGCAAAAGGGAGATTACAGGATGTGCTTCCTCATGTGGTTGAGAGGGTGGAGTGAGACGCTGAAGCAGTGCACCCAGGGCCCGGTCTGCACGCAGGAGGTGCTCCCAAACTGGGCTGCTGAGGCTCCTGCTGTATGTCCGGGTGGCTGCCTTGGAGAGGATGGTCACCCCGATGAGGCAGGAGCCCATAAAATAGAGCCCAGTTAGGGGTGTGTGGGATGTCCTGTGTTGGGTGAGCTGGGGAACAGCTCTGTGAGAAGGTCAGATGGGGAGGCAGCCACAGAGGGAGGAAGCATAACCCTGGGGCCAAGCACAGGGCTCCTGGGTCAGACGGAGGAGCTGTTGGGCTGTGGGAGCTTGGGTTCCATTCCAGCATCTTCGTTTGTAAAATGAGTGGGTGGCTGGCCATGCTCTTGGGACCCTGCCCACTCCTGGGCCCTGTGGTCAGTGACCCCTTCCCCACAGGCCTGCGGTGTGGACTATGAAGTCAAAGCCTTTTGCGCAGAGAACCTGGAGGAGAAGATCCACAAGCGGTGAGAAGGGCACAGCTTCTGGCTCAAGTGTGGGCTGCCTGCTGGCAGAAAGAGGGAGATAGGTGACCCAGAAGAAGAGATAAGTAACAATACCTGGAAATGTTCTAGGAGGGGCCTCACATTCCAGCCTTGGGAGCTCTGAGAAGGTCACTCAGGAAAGCTGGCAGGGCTTCTTGGAAGAGGTGGCTCAATTGCTCTGGTTCAGGCCTCAGCATTTTTTTCTTTACACCATTGTACCTGCTTTCTCCATCTCCCTGCATCTAGTCTCATCCCCTCCAGATTGCATGCCTTTTTACTTTGTTTTGGAAAAAACTCGAAATTCAGATTGTTTTAAACAGCAAGCTAGTTTTTCCCAGGCCAGTTTCCCAGTTTTCCTTCTGGGAGGCCATCAGCAGCAGGTGGTGGTGGTGACAGGTATAAATGGAGGCTTCCAAGCAAGGTAGAAAAGTGGAGAAAGTGAACCCACCCAGGGTAGGATGGGGAGGGAGGTCAGCTCATGTCTCAGAGAGGGGAGGTGTTTTCCTGGAGAGGCACAGCCCTGGGCAGACAGAGAGCCCAGGCTGGCATCCTGAAACAGCTGGCCGTGACTTCTGGGGTGCGCTTCCTCAGCCCCCAGCTCAGATGCACCCTGCCTAGGAGGGTTCCTGCCTCAGCTGGCTGAGAGCACTGCAGTCTCTTAGGGAGTGGGCCAAGTGTGCCGCCTGGTGGCTATAGGATGTATTGCAGGCATCTCCACCCCCTGCCTGGGTAACGTGTGTGTGTGTGTGTGTGTGTGTGTGTGTGTGTGTGTGTGTGTGTT